AAAAGCTATTAAAACAGTTCTCCCTTTTTCAAATGGGTGAGGCTGGATTTTCTTCACGTATTTCAACCCAAACATTCTGTCACTAGAGATCTGATATTGAAGAAGATATAAGAATCTAGTTGCCTTCCTTTCAGCCAAACTAAAGAGATTTCTGGAAATGTAAAAGAATGCCATTCTTCTGACTATTCTATTGCATTTTGGGAAATTTACTTTTCTTACAAAAATTATGTTAACATGTAATGGGCTTATTACTATTTTAAAGTGAATTATAAGTGATTTTTAATTGTTCCCAGTCTGAACTTTGAATGTGGTAAAGATCAGTTGATATAACTTACATAGCAAGCAAAAGCATTTTGGAGTCTACTGTAATTTTTAAGAGTGTAAAGGTTCCTGAGAACAAAAGCTTCAGAACCACTGGCTTACAAGACAACACCCAGAATGGTGAGCGAGATATTGGGGACTTTCCACCATCCCACTCCATCCTGCCTTTGCAGCCTCACCTATTACTACTGTCTCTGAAGGACCCCCAGGTCCCAGCCTAACCACCTTGTTATTGATTTCTGTACATGCTCTGGGCTTTTGTGCCTGACATTCTTCTACCTGGAGCACATGTTCCCACTCCCTTTATCCACCTGCCTGGTGGTTGGTGGGTCAGGGACATCCTCTGAGCACAAGGGCCTGAGGATGGAGAGACCCAACTTCACAGTTTGTTGATGGGTATTTTCTGCATATGGCCTTCAGGATCTATTTATTTGTCTTCCTTAATTAGAATTCCTGGAGTGCAAAGGACCAAAATTTCCCCTCTGTTTATATTTTTTATCATCTAAGGGCCAAGCGTCCTGCCATAAACTTTATGGAATTTTTGTAAATATTAGCTAACAATTTCTAGTGATATCTGTGGGCTTTTATGATCCTATGCAGACTGACCAGAGTATTTAGTGTGTCTGCTGCAAGCAGGACGCTTGGCAGTGGAGGGAGGGGCCAAAGAGGTGAACTTTGCTTAAGAACCTGCACTATGACTGGGGAGACAGGATTTACAGCCAAGAAGCAATCAAACAAGACACAAGGAGGTATGTAATCCAAGGAATAACGAGGTCCCTTTGAGGAGGGAGAGATGGAGAGGGAGGAGCACCTGTGTGTTTGCAGTGGTTGGAGAAATCAGAGTTGGCTTCTCAGAGGAGGCAGAGACTTGTAAGGGACTTAATAGGGAAGGTTTAGTTAGGGGTCAGCAAGGCAGGATTTCAGGTCAGCGAACAAACACAAAGCAGGGCACAGAGTCCGGAAAGAGCACAGCATGTTCATGGCCTAATGAGGAGACTGCTGACCACAGTGAAGGTGAATGGTGCGAAATGATGAGGCTGAAAGCTAGTTAGAGGAGCTTAGACTGGACATGGAAGGAAGGAGAAACCAGCCTTTTTTTTTGGTTAGGGAAGTGACATGGTGTTTTTTGAACATGGTGGTTATTTGTGGGAGGAAGAATGCAGATGGGGCATCTAGTTAATGATCCAGAGATGTGAGGTGGTGATTATGTGAACTAGGGTATCAGCAAGGTTCTTTGAAATTAAATACATGCAGGTAATCATGTCTAGAATGCCAGCTCAGCGGTGCCTTTAAATAGGCGTGTTTTATATGTCAAGGCATGAGGATTAAACCTTTACAATAATGTGTTAGTGACATAATTGGGTCTTATCGCATGTGGCTGATTTAGAGCTAAAATCTTTTTTTTTCCAGCCTTTCCTCATGTCTTATTGTGTCAGCCCCTAAGTAATTGTGTGCAGTTTTGGGCAAGTTACTCCACTCCTTGCTGTCTTGGTTTTGTTATCTGCAAAATGAAGGTATAGATATTATCTATCTCATAGCTGAGTTATGAAACTTATGAGTTAATACACGTAAAGTACCTATACTAGTTCCTGGCACATAGGAAGTCTTTAAAAATATTAGCTATTATTTACTTATTCAGTAATTCACATTATTATCAGAATATAAATATTTAAATTACCTAATGGGCCAAAGCATTCAGAGCCGTGCTGAATCAAGGCCCTTAAAAAAAGCTTCCTGGAGACACTGTAAAGATGAGACTCAGAAGCTGGGGTGGAAAACATTAAATATTCTAATTCCATAAACTCATTAAGATCTACAGTGTAAAACCTGGGGACCCAAATCAAAATTTAATCACGTCACTTTTCAGCTTACACACAGGCTCCCAGTGCAGAGCAGAGAGAGCTGGTCTCCTTAGCAAGCCAGCAAGCCTTTCTCCCACTGGCTTTTGGTGGCCATCCCAGCATTCCTTCCTGAGCTCAAATGGCCTGTGCCTCATATCCCATTTATGCTCTATAAAGTCAGTCATCTGTTTTTAAAAGACTATTTTTTAGAGCAGTTTTGGGGTTTATAGAAAAATGTCACAGAAAGTACAAAGTTCCCCATGTACTCTCCCAAAAGTTTCCCTTATTACAAACACCTTGCATTAGTGTGGTACATTGTTATAACTGATGAACCAATATTGATGCATTATTATTAGCTAATGTCCATAGTTTACATGAAGATTCATTCTTTGTGCTGTACACTTCTATGGGTTTTGGCAAATGCATAATGTTCTATATCCACTACTACAGTATCATACAGAATGACTTTACTGCCCCCAAATTGCCCTGATCTCCATCTATTCATCCCCTCCCTCCCCCTCCCCTTTGGTTTTTAAGAATCAGTAAAAATGTTCTCTCCTCTGTGAAATGTTTCTGTTCCCCCAATTATAATGACTTTTTGATGCTTGCATAGCATTATTTTATAAGTTAAAAAAATATTTTTATTGCCCTGACCGGTTTGGCTCAGTGGATAGAGCGTCGGCCTGCGGACTCAAGGGTCCCGGGTTCGATTCCAGTCAAGGGCATGTACCTTGGTTGCGGGCACATCCCCAGTGGGGAGTGTGCAGGAGGCAACTGATCAATGTTTCTCTCTCATCGATGTTTCTAACTCTCTATCCCTCTCCCTTCCTCTCTGTAAAAAATCAATAAAATATATTAAAAATTTTTTTTATTGACTTTAGAGGAAGGGGGAGGTAGATAGAAACATCAGTGATGAGAATCATTGATCAGCTGCCTCCTGCACACCCCTACTGGGGATTGAGCCCGAAGCCCAGGCATTGAATTGAACTGTAACCTCCTGGTTCACAGGTCCACCTTCAACCACTGAGCCACACTGGCTGGATGCACAGCATTCTGTATACCTGTTACTCACCTTATGCTCTGTATGTATTAGGGGCATACACACACTTTTCTTCATTTGTCCTTGTGGGAGAGGCCAAGCCATAGAATTATCTGGACAACACCTAGCCTAGACCTAGTTCTTAATAGATCTAGAATACCAGCTGAACTGAACTGAATGGTGAGCAAATATTAGGATGGGATTATGCAGGCTAGGTCTCAAGTGGAAGGTGTACTTGTGAGGTCCGTGCATGCTTCAGGACTCAGGGGTCGGTGGATGGGAAAATCCTTTGACAGGAAATGGTCTTAAAAACTGCGTTGGGTGAGATGGCCCAGGCCAGGTTTATATTACTACTAGGCCACAGGGCTCCTCCCCACTTCTCCTCCTCTCCTCTCCCCTCCAAAACAAAACAAAACAAAACAAAACAAAACAAAAGGACAGGAGCCTGGTTATTTCCATCCTTCCCATCCAGGCCTCTGGAGAGTCTTTTGTTTGGTCCTCACTCTCTCTTCCCAGGTCGCCCCCAACAATTGAGGATGCCCAGTGTGCCTCCCTTGGTCAGGACGAACCTTCCCTTATATTTTTATTTTCTTATTTCACGCCTAGCCTTTTGCTTTAAAGACACTGTTCTTAAACGCTCTAAAACGCAGCAGGAACATGCAGATCTGAACAAAAGCAAATAAATTGAATCTTGCGAAGTAGCAAAGCAGACACCCTTCTCCAACAGCCGGCACAACACGAAATGAGAAATATCAGTCACCCACTAGACACAGTATTTCCCCTCTAGACTGGAGCTGCTGTTGGCACCCCCCTCCCATGAGACAGCGAAGGGCCCATAAAACAAATCACTCCCCTCGGCTCCCACGCGGGAGTCAGCAGTTTTAGCAGCACCGCTATTCCTTTAAGCAACACAAGCTTTTACTTCGCCGTACCTGCCTCCAAACGCAAATGGGGAGGAGGTGGGTGTAGAGAAAGGGAGAAGGAGAGGGAGAAGGAATAGGGGGAGAGAGATGTTTCCCGGTGGAAGCGTCTAGAGCCCAGTGGCGCCAGAACCTGCGCGGGCGAGGGCTGGAGGGGGGTAGCTCTGGAAACCCGGTTAGATCGGAAGGTGCCGTTCCCTGGGGGCAGTGAGTGCTCTCCCGAGAGCCCGGCTCTCCCATTCCTCCCCCCGCCCCCAGAAAGAGTCGGAGGACAGGGGGGCGCCTGCCTGGCTCGGGAGCCC